TAGTACCGAAACGTGCCAAGGTGACGCTAAACAATGCAAGCAATAAATGCAGTAGCAAAGCGAAAGCGAGTCACACGTGTAGCGTGGGTTTGAACAGGACCCAGATTATATCTACACCTGATAAAACCGTGCTCGGTAAAACAAACAGAAGTAAAACAAAGAAATATCACAGTTGGAGTCAGTTGCGTGTAGCGTGGGTTTGAACAGGACCCAGCTTATATATACGCCTGAGCGGAAAACCGTCCTTGGTAAAACAAACAGAAGTAAAACAAAGAAAATATCACAGTTCGAGTCAGAGTTGATTGTGGAGATTTGAACAGGACCCAGCTTATATATATGTCTGAGCGGAAAACCGTGCTCGGTAAAACAAAAACAGAAGTTATATATACGCCTGAGCGGAAAACCGTGCTCGGTAAAACAAACAGAAGTAAAACAAAACAATGAAATATCACATTTCGAGTCAGAGTTGATTGTGAAGAAAATATGAACGGAAAACGTCCTCGTGGATTGCTCCTTTTCTTCATACAATCATGGTCACTACAGGTATGTTGTCTGCTTGGAATAACTGGCATTGGACAGCACATAATTTTCATCACAAACAGTAGCGCGGACGTCAGATTACTGTTCGCAAACTAACTTGGCCCACTGTAATGTGCAGTCATGCATGAATAAGATTTTTTGCTGGAGTTCAGAGTAGTTGGTACCAAACATTGCTGGTTATGTAACTGGTTGTACATATTTCAACAACAGACTTTTCAAGGATTCGTAATTTGGTATAGTAATGTCCGGAAACGCCAAGTTCTTCAACAAGGAATATGCCTCCTTTCCGATGAGCGGTACGAAATTGACAGTTTTGTGATCACCACGGAGGCCTTTCCGCATAGCATACCAAATCTTGTACTGTTCGAAGTAGCCTTTGAGCTCTCTAGCGCTGATATGCATGTTGTGATTCTCCAAATTACAAAAATCAATTTCATTTCAAATGACCGGGACGCCAGTTGTTATGACTCGTCCAAGGACTAGAATCCCGTACACGTATCGAATTCCGCGCAGTAATAACCCAGCCCGACATATATACATATACATTATGGAACGTATCAATGAAATGTGAAAAGTAGGACAACCGTTTTACCTTTTTCGCCGATAACAAGCAAACAACCATTAGGTGCTTACAATTAGGGCTTCAAAAACTTACCTTATTTTATCACAATGATCCGTTACCCTTTTGGCAATACGACTATAAGTGCCAACTAATTAAGATATCTAAATAGACATCAGCCTTGTAAACAGAATCCAGAAGAGAACTTGCGAATCTCTAGAAAAAGAATCTAGCATTTCATACATGATTTTATTTGGATTTAGTTTTGCTATTCGATGCAGCCGTTGCTATTTCTTGCCTGCATTTCATAGCCGGTGTCTAACTCTTTGTTACATATATCTTCTAATGCTCAAAACTCTGCATTAGAGACAAAAGTAGTGGTTAAATTGGAAACAGTTATGGTCTCAGTGGAATTTCGCGTATTAACCTTTTTAAGAAGAACCTAAACAGAAACGTCCTATCTAATGATTCTTGTCCACATGTACTCCTGATAAAGGTGAACGATTTATCGATTCATCGATTCACATTTCTTACCCCAACGACTGAGGTCAGTTGCCATAGTGTTCGCTCATTCTCGTCTAAAGTAAAATCGATCAACGATCGCAGGCAAAGTGATCCCAGCTTTTAGTGCGCTCGCTCGCACACACACGTATCTTTATTTCCATCTCACAGTCAATCATCAGTTGTATTCTCGTCGTTAACACCTTTGACCAAACAGCACGGATCGTAAGAGCCCATCCACTGTACTCGTTGCGGTCAGCTAAGCTCGATTTCGCAGCCTGATCATCCCAAGCCTAATCCCTCCGTAACAAAGGTCTATGTCGTACTGAAAACAACCAGATAAACTTCATTGACAGTAGTTACGCTGATAGAGCAACCTGTGTCTTGTGGTGGTTGGGTACTCGTCCTTGAGCAACGACGTAGAATAACCCGATTATAAAGGTCATTTCGTTATCCAGTTTTCATGCGCGTTTATTCTTGTGTGCACAAGTGCACTACCGATTATAAAAAGCATTTCTGTGAATTCTGATCCCGACTCTACGCGATAAGGCTATTGTGTGTGTGAATATGTTTATATTTATTTACATATTTCACGACCAGCGAAAGGTCAAAACAAGACGATAGAATTTCCTTTACCAGGTGTACAGAGAATTCAGATGGGTTTGAGTTGCAATCAGGCTTTCTCAATTGTTGCCATTTCATCCGAATGAAGTACAAATAAACCGGAGTTGAATTTTCTACCGAGCAGTGTGCTTCCGAACTAGTCAATCATTTGGCACAGAACACGGCACATATGTTCTGTGGAGAGATAGCCAAATGGGTCCCGATAACACACTTGCACGGCAGTGACTTGTACAGAACAACAAACTGGTCTCCTTAGGGCCGATTACTGGAAACAAAAGCCAACATTATAACCGGCTGTTGCTCTTGGTGCACGCGATACGACCCGTAAGTATGGGAAACCAGGTAAATGACGGATGTGACTTGAGTTTGAGATTGCATTTAACAGAAGAAAGGACGGTTAACCTTCAATTCCACCGTTGGATTGTTAACAAACAACAAATATCTACAATTATCAAACTGTTTCGTTCCAGGCTATCATTCAATGGTTCAGAAATGTTTTATAATTGTTCTCCATTTGACCGTACTGATCGAAGTTACTTTTTAAATATAATGAAAAGGACCTTTGAATGCAACCAGGCCAGTTTTTGTAGACTTCCTTCCAGCGAAAGTGATGGTATGCACTCATCATCAGGTGGACATGCATTTTTTTCTCACCCCCTCCCCCGGTGTTAATCCGCGCGTGATATCATCTCGCTCCATTAGATTCAGGGATCACTTACGATACCCTTAGTCTTGTCAAGAAATCNAACCGATACTACACAGGTGCGTGTGGTTGCGTTCACGTCCAGCGTGAGGATGAGCGCACGGTTGGTTCAGGTCTGTCCATGTTTCCTTGGATGCATTGTTCAATTGATAATCAAGGCTTTAGCGAGAACTAACATTCGTCGAATACGGGGCAGTGCGACAACTCGGGTCTGTTATATTGATCTGAAAAACGGAGGGGGACAATAGGTTTGATTGTTCAACTTACCACTACTTATTGATCATCCGTTGACTATGAACCGTTTCTGCATTTCAGAGTGATATACAAAATGCATACTAATGAAATAAACATTTATTTTGTATGGACCTCCCCAGGAATTGTGAATCAATCACTATCTGTTCATGGATGCTGATTCAGTCAACAGCAGAACAGTTTGAGAAAAACGTCCCACACCGACCGATTAGCTATCAATACGAACAGCGCTGATTAGACAATCATGTGAATGAACTGAGTAACGAACTAGGGCCAATTTCGAAACGAGCGGACTTCTTCAAAAACGCAAAACCGATAACGGAGTAGTACACTCGCACATTTCAGAGAAATCGTGAGTCCTGCAGAACTTCAGCAAATTTATTCCTGCTGTTACCACTAAGCACTATAATGAGAAAGGGTGAAAACAATCCACATAGTCAGTTATCGAGTCTGCTTTACAACAGAGTTGATGTTCCCATAGGAACACCATACACACACCAGAATTTCAACATATGCGCAAACAAAGGTGATGGAAAGTTAAAGGCAGTAATCGGCCTTAGTCGAAGAGCACGGAAACTCCTTTGAGCCACGTCGTACGAACAACGCAAACCGCTTCGAGAGAAGTCGATCAGCGGCTGACCTGAAGAGGGCACCGTTCTTGAGGAACAGTACTCTCATTGAGCAAGAGAAAGTCTGATCCGACTTGTCTGAGAGATGTAGTAATCAAAGTTTGAGGCTTCACTATGGTCCCGGTAACAATTTCGCTTTTTCTTCATGCCAATGCTTTTAACGAACGCAGCAGGAAGGGCTGCGCCGCCAGTGTTCACTGTAGCTAATTTGCCAACTAGAGGAATTGTAAAATTTTGAGACGCTGACTTTCCTTATCACTATTGGAGCACAAAGCACTCATACCAGATGGGCACTATCACCGTTTGATCCGCCCCCTTGCAAACATTTTTTGATCAACCTTTTCAAGCAGTACATCAGTTATTCCGCATATCAGATGAACTCATCTTCGAGTTTCAGTTTGTACAGTCATTAACCATGCACTTTCGTGCAGTGGTTTTGGTAGCTGTACTTGACTGCCCATTTGAACGAAGAGGTAGTGGGATGATTGGAAAGTTGAAAGCAGTTTCGAGGAGAAAAAAGGTAAATTCCGGTAGAGTACAGTTGCAGAGAAATCGGGGGGTCCTGATAGGTCTGTCGTGCAGTGTCAGGTAAAAAAAGTATAAAGCCAACCCAGAGTCTATACAAGCTCCATAAAACGACATGCTTCTGAAGGAGGATCCCGCGGCGTATTAAACGGGGATATCACTGTCTTATGAAGCAGTTGGCAGTTTTCAAAACATAGGCCCTTATGCATGCCACATAACTGAATTGCCAACGCTACAACGAAAGCCCACGTACTGACACTGTTCTATGTTTGCTGGAGAATATTTAATATCATTGTGACATGCTATTTTATCGAATAACTTCACGAACTCATGTAGGACACAGATTGGCTTCCGCCTTCATATTCTGACAAACGTTTTGTTCGCTGGGTAACTTCTCCCTTCCGAAAAGTAACCTGGTTTCACTTAATGGCCTTTGCATCCATTGAACTACCTTGGTGACAAGCCGAATGTAGAAAACTAAAGAATTCATTTAGCAGCACGGCACCCAGTCACTTGCGTAACTTCAGAAGAAAAAAACGGATTGAAAGAGTAAATATACAGGATGTATGAAAGAACAAGCTTGATTCACACAGTGAAACGCAGTGCCGTAGCCAAATGTGTACAGATCGGGAGCAAAAAGGGAAAGTAGGTGATAAAACAACCCGAACTAAACCAAATCAGATACATTCATGGGCATTTCATCGATTTGCGTGGAGTAGTATTGTTCGATATCGCGCAAAATACGAATATCCTCTGTTTTCACGAAGTTGATTGCAACTCCTTTACGTCCAAAACGACCCGATCGACCGATTCGATGAATGTACAATTCACGATTGTTGGGTAGGTCGTAATTGATGACCAATGACACCTGTTGCACGTCGAGACCTCGAGCCCAGAGGTCAGTGGTAATCAGTACCCGGCTGAGGACAGAGGGAAGATGGAAAGTTGGAATACAGCGTCAAGTCGTTCACAAAGAATTTCTAATCAAATTATCTCTACTGCAGCTGAATACTAATGAATTGGACAGCGGGATTGCAAAAGTCAAATATACAAGCTTGACAGAACTGGTGCAGTGGACGAGACAGGACAGTCTCCGAGGTAAACTGCAGCAAACAATGAGCCCATCACCTTTGAACAGTGAAATGCAGTAAGGCGAACTTCACTGTTTAATGCCAAGCTCACAACGTAGACAAAGCAAGAATGCACGAGATGGACAGGGACTGGATTTATTCAGAGGGCGGCAAAAGTGGATCCCTATAGTCAGCACTAAACACAATCGAACTGTATATACAAATCTTTTCAAGTATTCTGACTGGATAACAATTGACAAAAAGAACACTGCTGCTGTAGGTTCGCTGCCATAATCTTCAGTGTCTCCAAACAACCGGTTGCAGTCTTTTAAACCCTAACCTGGAGGACGAGACACTTACGCTACCTAATCGCACGGTGCATTCCTTTATGACTCGCCTAGACATCATCCATGTGATCTCCTCCAAACAACAGCAATAACTAAATAAGATACGGTGAAGTAGACGGCAAATGAACGTGTGCAACACGGTCTAACTAGCTAAGCCTATAAACCTAGATTCGATTTGATAACAAATTCTTAACCGAATAGGATTTCTTCAACTTACTCAGACGCTTCATTCAACTCACACCAACTAAGTAAACATCGACAGGTGAAGATAGCTAGATGATAGATGTCTTCAATGTGCATATTCAGGGTCTCGCAACCGTAAAACAGAACCGACCGCAGCCTTCAGTTTAAACAAAATATTCTGTCGGCACCGGTGTTTCAATCCTGCGTACGCTTCCCGTGCCTTGGAAATGCGGGTGGTTACTTCCTTGACTATGCTACCATCATTTGTCACACAACTAACCACGGTGGAGAAGCAATCCACTATAACCAGTAATTGAGCATCAAACATCAGAGTAGACGACACCCATCCCCTCTAGCATTTTTTGCACTTCGAAGGTGCAAAACGCATACCAAAAGGAGTTACAGAACCGAACAGTCTATCAGGAGCGGTTTGAGCGTCCTCCATTTGATATCGTC